GGGGAGTTTGGTTTGTTTCTGTTCCTTTAATTACAATCTTCAATAACAGGGACGATCGCTCCGGGAATCTACAGTCTCTTCTTCAAGCAGCAGGATTTGCATATTTTTAATGCCCTAATTTCCTTGATGTATGTAAATGCAGCCGGACGTACAGTAAGACTCAAGCTGACGTCAATGGACGTGACCTCGCTGTTAAACCTTGAACGTGAAGCTGGGATAGGGAAAACAGACGAAAGAGAGAGGGGGAGATGCAGCCTTGCAGCTCGAAAACGGCAAAAGCAGCAGAGGGGATATATTACAGCGGCGGCGGAGGCAGGAGCCAGCCAGCAGCCGCAGCAGCATCTTGAGCTGCAGAAGCCGTGGAAAGGCAGCTGGACACGTGTGAAGAGCCTTCCTCAGCTGCATTGCTCGTCTCTATCCCCGTTTGCAACCCACCTAAACTGATCAGCGCTTCTACCCCGTAAAATAAACGTTATAACAATTCCATCCATCCCTCCCTCCCCAAACAACAGCGAAACAAAGCAAACAAACGCAACGTCCTGTAAATGATCCCACCAACAAAAATGGGACATAGTTGCTGCTGCTCTCCAGAAGATAATGAGCGGGAATCTACAACGTCGACTTTCACTAACCGCCTCCCTCCACCCCCCAAAAAGCAGCAGCAAACCCAAATATTAAAAGATACACGTGAGTTCAATGGGTGCAGGTAAATCGTCAGCGTAAGTGATCAGTGTGCTTCCTGTGGTACCTGGTTACTGATACAGTGTTATGTACAGTGCTGTAAGGGGACTGCTGCTAACAATGTCGGTTTGGAAAGAAGAGACAGAAAACAGAAGAATCGCTAGGCTCGTAGCGATTCACTCGCATGCCTTGTAAACCTAATTGCTATACCCAGAGGTGGCACTGATCTGCAAGTGAATCTTGGCCATAAGCACTTCTCTTGGTTTTCCATTCATGTCTCCCCGCTGAAGGGAGAGGCTGAATCTAAGGATACCCTGAATTCTGAACGTCTGAAGGTGCCTTATTAACTAAAACGGAGACAGAAGAGAGCAGATGTGAGAAATGCTTTCTGAAGCTGCGCTTCCTCTTCTCTCTGACTTTATCTTTTATTGCTCCTCCCTATATATACATAGGCCTGAAGAACCTTTATGGGCAGGGGTATTTCCCGAGATTAGGCTTCAGAATTATAGGCAGTCAAGTTTTAGAAAATCATGGACATTTTTCCTTAATATCTAACTTTTCCTTTTCTCGTGCCAGTGGTATGTTTCATGGCATTTATGTAGATTTTTACAGCCTTATAGTAAACCAGATGAAATATGTAAGCTGCAAGCTAGCGACTTCTCTCTCACACACATACGGACACAACTCTTTGTCTTCTGTCATAGCCTATGGTGAAAAGCAGCACCTACAATCCCCATGGTGTGGCTGTGAGTGTGATTGTGGCAGTGGGATTGAAGTGGTGGCCACTGACAAGGACACGAGTGACCGTCTGTCCTTTGGCTACAGTTGGCGGGAAATCTGGGGGCAGAGTGCTCCGTGCTCTCAGTCTGCGTCTCTCTTTACCGCCTCCCTCTCATCTTCCTGCAGCCACATTTCCATACAGGATACTCATCTGTGGGCTGGGTTTTTTTTTTTGTTACTTTGCCCCTCCCCCGCCCGCCTCCCCTCGTCACAAATACCCAGCCCTGCACACAGACACACTCTTCACCCACACACTTCTTGACACCCACACATTCAATAAAGCAACTCACCACCATAGAGAAAACACGCTTATCCATGCACAGATACATTCTACAAACACACCCACCCAAAGACATATTTACACGCACACCCTTCCCCATCAACACACAGCCTTGCACACAGACATTCCTACAAACACACACCCTATACAAAGGTTCTTACAGCCTTCCTTCACAAACACACCTTTTCCACACACCCCTCATGTTCTCATTCTCGCAAACACCCATGCTTCTACACAGTGAGTCCTCGCATTATACATGTCCATATCTGTACACACACACACTAATACCCGGCCTTCTTTCTCTCCACACTCTCCACAGGCTCAACCCCTCCCCCCAACTTTTTAAAACACCCCCCTTCTAGCTCTCTCTTTGCACTCTCTCTCTCTCACTAAGCTCCATAAATCCATCCTAAAATCCATTTACTAAAACTGTTGATGCTGTCCTTCTTGTTTTGAGCCCAAAGCACTGAAAAACAAAACCAACCCTCCTTCCAGAAATCAATGCGATGACGTGAGGTCCCTCTACAAGTTTGCAAGTGAAAGAGGTTTTGGTTTCATTTTGTTTTGATTTGGACAAAAGTCACACATAATGGCAGTGCCTCCCGAAACAAGACGCAGAAGAAGCTGTTCCTCAAAAGTTAACTGGATGAAAACATGCTAGAAAACGCAACTTCTTGGGGCAATTTTTGTAAGTTTCCAAAGAAATGAGTGCTTCCCTCCTACTATAGGACAATGTAGCCATTGCTCTTCTTTAGACTAGACATTTCTAATTTGTTCCGTCTGTCAGAAGGGGACTATGAGAGGGTTTGGTGCAAATTCATTATCTCTGGCAACGCATAACGTATAGTAGGAACTGAAAAAGACCATGGCAATGGATGAACAATAGGGCTTCAGTTCATCAGCAACAAAAGCGTTGGGGAAATTGGTTGAATTTCAGAGCACGTCCTCCTCAGCAGAGAGGGCTGGACTAGACCTTGGCCACCCCCCCCCCCAAAAAAAACTTGCAAAGCCTCACGTACAACACTTCACTTTCTACTCTGGGGCTTAGGAAGCAATATGGAAGAAAAAACTTTTTTTTCTGTTTCTTCCGTTTTTCTGGATAGAAGCTCTTTCTAAGTATTTTAAAACCAACCATGCAAGAATTATACCATGGAACTAAGCTGCAGTTTCAAATAAAGGTGATGATCTGCATTTCTGGAGACGTGAAGGAACCCGCTGTCTATGCTTTAAGGGGGGCTTGACCGTGGGATCTTTGTTGCAGTCGGAGATTCAGCCCTTACATCTAGATCGGGGGTCAAATGTTTCTTATAAGAAAAAAAGTAAGTATAATTGGGGGAATATAGAGGATCGGAATTCTTTGTCAAATGGAGAAAACAACTTCATATCACACATGTGCTTCCAGAAACGTGTCTTTATGAATCTGAGCTCGGTTAGTGTCTCTATGTCAGGTTCGGGGGCAGTAGCTGCTTCTTCTGGTAACAGGCTGGACACGTTGCCTTATTAGAACTCTCATAAGTTGCAGTGACGACTGTGAGGGAAATCTGATTAACAGGACAGAGTTTCATGAGTTTACATGATGACTTATATTGGTTAACTGATTTAGTACGCGTGATGCTAAACCTGTTGGTCCTGTACGTAGTTAGGTCTGTGAACTATTAATTATCAAACAGATTGACAGTAAATGGATAGCATTAACGTTTAAGCATAGAGAGAAAAAGCTTTTTAGCAATGCCAGAATATCTTCTGAAAATGTATCAACATAAAAATATTCTTCACAGTGGTTGTCATTAGCGCATTGTAACTAAAACTGATTGCTCTCAAATTTTCAAGCTTTTTTAAAATCCGATAACGAAAGCATATGCTTGTTTATGTAAATGTGAAAAGGGTTATTTAATGTAGTTGATATATAAGATTTATATTTTTCCGTGTTTAGTGGGGAAGCTCCAATCCGAGCAGCCATTATTTCCTGGGTTATCCAAAAGGCACCCTGATCAAAATATGTATTATTTTATGTCGGGGTGATTGGTAAAGATTGCATGATATTATAACTATTCACATATTGAACAACCCAGCATAGGAAGCTATATTATGTTTAACACAGACTAAATTCGGATTCAAATCTACACCTTTCTGTAGTATGCGTATGCAGAGGAGTGAAATATTGTAGACGCAGAGCAATCAATTTACACTGGTGTCTTTCTGGATTTCCTATTGCTAGTGTAACTGTGGGTTATTGAGCAGGGAATATCTGTGAGGGTCACTTCAGCAGCTGAATAGCTCAGTACTTGGGTAAGAGTGTCCCAGTATGTCACGGCCACGGTCAGAGGCTCTTCCAGGAACTGAAGGCTGCTGCACAGGTTGCAGCTTAGGCCGAACATAGCGGACTATACAGTCTACAGGCAAGCTGTCTACCCCCAACCTTGATACTAGTAATTACAGCGCACACCCGGACTGAGAGCGCCAGTAGGCAGCATAATTGAAGGCAATGAACTTATGCACTAGTGTTCATCTTCCAAAAGAAGAAAAAACACTGAGCATTCATGAAAGGGATAAAAAAGAAATCCTTCAAATGCAAGTATAAAGGAATACATATCGCTTTGCAATGAATGTCTTAATTATTTTCTAATTTTCACTAATTTCTTACTAATTTAGCTGACATGATTACATTATTTAGATTCACACATACAATGTCTTGTTCAGTAATGCCGTAAATATAGCCTATGATATTGATTTTAGGACATCACTGATGTAAAACACCTGAAAATTCTGGCTTGAAAATACTGGCATAATGTGTTTTGCATATTTTGAAACTGGAGGCTAGGTGGAGCCTCTATCCTTTATCAAGTAACTGGCAGCTTACAGTATGCAAATATCTGATCTGCCTTCACAGTTTTGCCCCCTCTACTCAACAACCCCAAAATATTTTTGCTATTCTTAATCATAAAATTCCTTCCAAAGAATTGTGGGTATTATCTCCCTATTATTAATTATTATTTCCATTTAAATGTTAGTTATGTTTAACCCTTCAGATACCATAGTACACGATTCATTATATCTGCTTTATGGCATATTAGATCATCTGCAAGAAATATAGTGAGTTAAAATATTTTAGTCAATTATTTGATTATATTAAATATCGAGATACACCGCATTTTCTGTACACACATTTATTTATCATAGTCAAACACACAATACATACAAAATTCATGGACTGTAAGTGTTAAAATTATGATCATTTGCTTTTTTGGCTATTTTTCAGATTCAGATTAAGAAGAAGGATCACAAGGGATGGCAATAATCAAGAAATGGTAATTTTAAAATTTCATGTTTAATAAAATCCAACCAATAGAATATATATAACATAAAAATAAAATACAAATATTTGCTCTTTAACAGCCCATACAGTGTTTCCATGTAATAATTATTGAATGGGGTTTGCAATTTTTAAAATTATCAGTAGTCTAAGTATCTTTCTGTCTTTTTGTAGTTTGAATTTATATTATATAGCCCTCTGTATGTTATATATCAAACATAACAGAAATATAATCTACAATTGTCTATAAAAATTAATTCTGCACACAATAAATAAGAGGACACTTTTATTAGAAAGCAAACCAGTCAAGTGCCTTACTTGGGCTATACAAATAGCTGTAATTAAATGGCTCTTATACAGGAAATGATTGCCTGTATTGTATTAGTGGACTGTAGTTCACATCTATGTGAATTATATACAAACTAAGTATGAAAAGGGTATTCTTGCAATGACCTAATTCCTTATGCACTGCATAGAATATAAATAGAATTCCTGTATGCATCCTATACACTGGTAACAAGGTGGTCAGATTGGCATTAGAACAAAACTGTGATTCTAATAAGTAAAAAATCATCAACTTTCTACTTTAATGTGAGAGATTGTTTATTCCTAAGAAATCCATGCAGGATGTTTCGACTTTACGTCACAGCCATCTGGAGACCTATAAAAAGATTAGAAAACAAGCATGGCAATCATATCCTCATCTACAGGCCATTAATGGGAATTTATTAGAGAGTGATCAGGCAAGTGTAACTGTTTGGATTCAGTATCTTCCAATATGCAGATTATTTCTAAATTGGCATTCTAACTGTAAAATAAGTTTTCTGTGATCAAGTAAATCAGAAATATCTGAAAACATGTTAACAATATATGAAAGTAACTTCTGAACTGCAATTGCTTTAACTTCTCACATTTTAGACAGTAATACAGTCACTGAAAATGCATATGATCAATTGATGTATAAATCTTTGCGATATTCAGAATAAGCAAGTATTTTGTGGCTAAGCCTTATTGGACATCTGTAGATTTCTTAAAGCCCTGTTAGCTAACTGAAAAGTAGAAAATTTAATTGATAATATGGCTAATGAACAGTGAGGTTATAATCCTCATGTTGGCTATTTTTACTTCTAAGAACTCCACTGAATCTACAAAATGTGACCTGTGTATAACAGTTATTTATTGAGATAGTGTGTGATAAGTGAGGGGTCTTTAGAATAGAACCTAATATGTTAATGCTATGCTTTGTATCTTTCAAACATCTTAATTTAAAATAAAAATAATATGATATATCATGCCTTGCATTTAATGATAATTCTATCACATGGTTACATGTTTTAAAAGCATTAATTAATGTGGATATATGTGTATGTGTAGACATATACATATACACCCAAACATTATTTGAATTTTCATGTCTGTTACTTAAAGAATTCAATGCATCAGCTCACAAGCCTGTTTTATGTAATAGATGCCTGATCACTGCTGCCTCTAGCCATTGGGGGAAAATCTTTCTATCTGCGAATTCAGAAAAGCTCATTCGAGTTTTACATAATATTGAAATGATCCTGTGCCTTTAGATATATCAGATGTCTAATTCAGTGGTCCCTGTTGTGCCTGTACAGCCTGGGAGATAATGAAACATAGTAACTACATAATAGAGTGTTCACAAGAATTCTAACTATTTTGTGCTTGATTTTGAAAAATGTGGAAAAAAAATCACAGGCATGACTAGGTCATACTGTATTATATATCATGTCTGGATACCAAATAACCTTGTTTTCAATGTGATGCTATTTAATTACATATATTTAACAGTACAGTGCTCAGTTCAAAGGTTGAGAATCTCAAAAACACATGAATGGTTTCAGAAGTAGTAGTATTTCTGAATGCAATATTTGGCATATTAGTAATATGTTCAGGTCACTTCTGGGTGGCAGTATTTTAGTTAGTTAATTTTGGGCCTGGTCTTATTATTAAATTATTTTTATTTCCCATTTTCATGTTGTTTCCAATATGAATCTATGATCAGCTATTCAACTGCTTTATAAAGTTCTCATTTTACACTGGAAACACACACATATAGACACACACACACATACACACACACACACACTCATATATAGACATGTAAACACCTCCACATACATACATATGCACACATGTATATGCCTTACCCTGTAAGCAAGCTATAAAATTAATGCAGCACGAGTTGCAATATAATTGTGTACATTGTGAAAGCAATGTTTACCCTGAATAAATCAACCTATGAAAATATAGGCTAATTTACAAAACATATTTAAATTGATTCTGAAGAATTTCCTATAAATAATACTGCCATAAGTAGTATACTACATTTTGTTTTATTTTACACCATAGAAGGATAGTACCAGTATGATCTTTAACTCATAATTCATTTATAAGTGGAGAGCATTCAATATTATATATCTATGCTGAATTTTTCAATATGCATCTTATATAAACTGCAGCATGGATGAGCTGCTGAAGTACATTTTTTAATCTGAACAGTAAACAGTGTAGATCTCAGTTATAAGATTCATTGTATCACATATAATTGAGAGACCTTTCAGAGTTTGCACTTTAGGCTTAAAAACGCTATACAATTATACTGCTACATAATTCAAAGTATAATGTATTTTTTCATGGGAGGGGGAGTTGAGAGATTCAAATGCTAAAACCGAACATAATGCATTTTAACAATTTAGAAATACTTGCCTCATCAGTTCCTTGAGTGATATAAGCATGTGGTTCTTCAATATATGTAGGAGGTTAAAAAAACCACAATATATCAGCATTTTTATTAAGGCATTTCCCAAAATGATATACAATGTTAGAAAAATATTGCTGCAATGCTCACCTGTATTGCATTCTAACAGAGAGAGAAAGAGAGAGAGAGAGTATAGATATTATAAAACACTGGAGCCAGGCTGGAGTCTGCTGCTTGCAGCATTCCGAATCAACATACAGAACAAAAATGCACAATCGCCATGGTGCTAGTACTGTACTTGCAAATCACTATAGATACAAAACATGACTGAGATGTGAAGCCCTTAAAACACAACACACCAGAGCAAATTGTCAATGTAATTACACATCGACTCACTGCGTAATACAGAACTGATTCCCAGTCTGAGAAAGCAAGGCCCTGCTTTAAGCAATAGCAAAGTGCCTCACATCTCCCTGCACAACCAGGGTCTGCCAGAAGAGAAATGCAGGCAAAGACGTTATCCAGATCTGAAACGCTTTTATCTGTCCGCAGAGGGAGATTTCTTCCAGTCTTTGGATATTAGAGCGATCTACGCTAGCAACAAGGAAGGTAAAAGGCGGCGGGTTGATTTTTTCCTGCAGTCTGTAGTGCTAGAGGAGGAGATGTTGGTTGAGAGAATAGGAATTGTTCCAGTGCTGCTGCTGCTGTTGTTGATGGCGCGGGGCAGATTGCTGATCACTCATGCATATCAATAACCGTGTGTACTTGAGATTTCTCATGACATCATCATTACCTTGGTCTCCCGCGGTCCAGGACCTCTGACCTTGCCGGGCTGGTCCACATTTTGGCACTGAAAGCCCTCCAATGATGGCCCTTTTCTCCTTCTTTCAGACCGGGGGCAGCAGCAAGCCAGCAAGACCGCATCTTCTTCTCCCCAGCTCTAGGAGCCCTGAGAAATCGAGGAGCTTCCCCCCTAAAACATACATACACACAAGATATTTGCAATCAAGCTGCCACCATTTGGTAAAAAGCTCTATACTGTGCATAATCTAAACGGATCAGGAGCTGGATCCTCGAATCATCTTGTCACTTTCTACTGAAATGGGATTTTTTTCCTCCTTACACTGCGCTGGAAATTGCCGATGGCTTTACATCTTCATAGAGGCTAAAGAGTCTTTCGCGAGACTGAAGCAATTTACAATGCAAATAGAGGCCTGTGAAGGGATGGATGCTTCTCACTCTTAACAGCTTGATGCACCTCAGTAGCTGGTTTTGTTTTCTGATATTAACAGATGAATTGTTGGCTATCGCTGCCGGAAATTACTGGGTGAAAGAAAAAGTTCGGAATAAACTTTGAAGGCAACAGATCTCTTTTGGATGTGTATTAGCTGCACACACACAAAATCAGGTCACAATTGCATAAGAGGATGAATATTTTAAAGCACCGCTAGTACTTCTTCGAGGAAACAACACGTCTGTTTCTCAGAAAGAATCTGGATTCTAGCAAAGAAATAAATCTAAATAAATAAAAATTCTGTGAGGAAGCGAGTTGTTATCTTTGGTTATCTAGCTGTATGAGTGTGTTGGTCTTCATAAAGCTAGATAACCGAAAGTAAAAACTCCTTCATGATCATCGTGAAGCCTGTGGAAATGAAAGACTACATCAAGAGACAGTAAAAACCGAGAAAGGTCAGGAATGCTTATTGAATCTAACATTTTTACAGCTAAAGGTGAGAGTGGAGGAAATTAGATGACATACACATTCCAAAATATGAAGTTGTTAGATGCCATAGCATGGGTAGTTATATGCTGCAAAGAGGAAATGGTGCTGGTAAACAATGCATGTGCAACTTTTGCTGTTAAATACAAGTTAATATTTGAAGGGCTGAAGTAATTTTTAGAAAGACATTTAGAAATGAGTATCAGTTTGCAAAATGATTCAATGCAATTAAAAGGCCTTAGACGAAAAAATAAAGATCTTAGTGCTGATGATGACAATAATATGATGTGGACTAAATTGGGAAAATCTGCCTGGGAGGATCTTAAACAAAACAGTTGGGGTTATATTTCAAATGATATGAAATCAGACTTTCAAAAAAGTTTACACGGGAGTGTAGGCAAGCTTAATAATTTATAGCTGCTGAGAACTCGGTGGAGCTGCACAAAGATGAAAAAAGTGATGGCTGATTTTTATTCTTCTATTCAAAATGCGAGCACAGATGCTTCTCTGTTCCAAGAGGGTTTCCTTGAGGAAGCTACTGAAGCAGAAA